CTAAGAGCTGGACTGTAGTTAAACAAACACATAGGCTTTTATGACCTCAATTGTGTGTGCATGTAATATGGTTTGTTGAACCTCCCCTACTACTTAATTTCCTTTCTAACCTTTTATCAATTCATCAATAATGTTTTTTGGTAATTAATTCCTGATTTAAAGGCAGTAGTGCATCCAAGAGATTTGCCTCCGCTGAATAAACGTTGTGGGTCAACCTGCCTGAAAGAGCAGCTAATCTGACCAGATTTCATGGCTTTGCGGCTTTAATGAAGCATTTCAGTGTCCAATGATGTGAATATAGTAGTCTGTTGGAGATGAAATTATGTTTTGTTCTGCGTTTTTTGAAGCAGGTAAACAATTTTGTGTATTTAAAGTATTTGCTACTGCCAGCTGTTGGGGTTTTATGTGCAAATGTTTAAAACTGTGACATTCTGTATTTGACCCACTGTTACGATCTCAAGAATAAAACCTTTTTTAAAACATTGTCTTGTTTGAAGACTTCTTCCCTGTTGCAGCACCTTTTCACGTCATGAAAACACAGTCGCTCTATGTGAAAATAAGAGATACATGTACAACCCATCCAAATGTATTGAGAATAAAATGCTTGAATGCTAATTCAGTTTGACAAGCAAACACTGGCAGTAGCCTCTAAATGTGAATTTAATTATTACATTTTTGCAGGCTGTTTTTTTATTTAACTGTTTGGTCAGAAAGAAACCATGCAGCACATCAGCAGTGAACACCATCAGTGGCCAATATCCATTTTTTCATTAAAGTGAAGTAGCCGCACACCTTGTTCTCATTTTTGCGACTGTTTATTAAGACACCAACAGTACAGCAAACAGCTTTCATCAGGTTTCATCACACTCTGATGAAAGCTGTTTGCACAAACGTTGGGTGTCTTTATAAAGTACAGAAATGAGAACATCACATGAGGCTACTTCACTTAAATAGAATAATTTTTTTTTTTTTTTGCCTTAGCCAGCACCGTTATGTGTATAGAACAAAATTCAGTTGCCTGAGGTGAGTTTGTACGTACAGACTATACGTACCAGACGTATCGACTGCAGGGATGTGTGTTAGCAGGTAGTTTGCACCAGACGCTGGGTGTAAGTGTCAGTCTGTCATCAGATTTAGTCAAATCTCATTACAATAATAAAGGAAGGGAATTCACAAACCTCTATGTCCTTGTACTCACTCATTTTTTGCTTTCTGTGCCATTGTCTCAGGATGACTTCAATGAGTTCTCTAAATGTATGAATGTTAAAAATTTGCACAATTTAATCAAATAAAATGGTATTAAGAACAAAAAAAAACAATCCCTGCCACTGTCACTGAAGTGCTTTCTCCACTGCAGTGCAGTTCATGCACTGGACATTAGTGCATTACTCAATAACATTTCATCGCTCATCTAATATACCAACATTGTGACAAGCGAAAGACATAAAAGTGTTTTTACGAGTGTCTGTGAAACTAAAGACTTGATAAATCCCCATTCAAAACGAGCACAGCATCAATTCCCCACCACCAATGCCCCGTGGGCACGAGAGACCGGGCCCGTTAGGCGATTAGCCCGTCTTACATTCCCGGTGATCGGATTAGACGATTCCCACAGTCTAGTCTGAAACTACTCCCGACCCGCAGCTCCGGAGAGCATCTCAATATCCAATTTCACAGCTTTCTAAACCTGGATCACGGAGGCTATTTATTACTGTCACAGGCTTTTGTGTTGGGGGGCAGCGGGGGGGGCGGCGTACGGCTTTTGTGTTTCATCTGCTTCGGAGCAGGAAGATGATCAACAAGAAGTGTAATGAGTGAGGAACCAGTGGCGTTGCCTGAAACACAGCAGCCCTGTTAAATTAGACCACGACGACGCTTGTTGCAGCAGTCAGCAGCTTCTCCGTGGACCTTTGATCCGCACGCCGGAGTGACTGCTGCTGAAAACAATTATGACCCCGGTGTGTGTCCTACAGCACATTGTGGTGTGTTCTGTAATTGACAAAAAATAAATGGAAAATCAGAAGAAGCAGAAGAAGAGACTGGATTTGGGAATCATAACTTTGGAAGAAAATTGGGATGTTTTGGGAAGTTTTTGATTACAACTCAGAATTGTGTTAAGGAGTACAGTAAAATAGAGTTCACTTAGTGATTTTGGACAGATGTAGCCTTAGTGCTGGTTGGCTGGCCAAAACAGTGCCTCCTAGATAATAAAACCATTTATAAGGTAGTCTTAAACTGGACCAGCAGCTGTAATAGGGGCCTCCATTATAGAGGCTTTATAATTTCCCTGCTTTTTCCTTTTAGAGCCTCTGTTGTTCCTCTGAATTACCCCTGAATGATTTATGCTCACTGGTCTGGCCACTGATAGACCCTGGCAACACAGATAGAAACACACTTAGGGCTTTTTGGTGTGTAAACACACTGTATTAAAAGCCAACTTGTTTCAAACAGCCAAACACATTTGCTGCGGCGGGGTCCGCTCGGTGTCATTTCGCTCGTCAAACACCGCAGTGTCACAGCCAATCAGGGGACTCCACGGGCAACACAAGCCATTTAACCTGAGCAAACACAGTGTGTCACGAAGCCCGAGGATGACTTAAGAGCCTGAGCAAACACTGGCGAGAGCCATCGGGCACGAATCAAGGCGGCCCGGCTGAGGACAAGTCACTCTCGTAATGGGTTTGTGATGACTCAAGATCGAGCGGCCATCTGTTTGTTACAGTGGGGGAGGACCACAATTCACAGTTCAGATACACAGAATATTAGCCGGTAGTGCAAGCAGAGGAGGGGAGGGTTTGGCCGGTGGCACAGGATGTAAAGCATATGTCCATAAATGGTGAATATGTTGATAGCTGAGGCCCTGATCCCCTGAACTGGGGCCAGATAACAGGATTTGCATGGTGATTTTCAGCCTCAGTGACACAACATCTTCAAAAGGTGTAAGACAAGCAATCCTGCAAGTGACCTGAAGACTCGTCCTTACAAACAGGTGTAAAACACTGCAGTGCCCCATAAACAACTCACCGCTGACATGAAAAGTTCACCACATATTTAAAGCACCGAGGCGTTTGCATGGGATTTCAATGATGTGACTTTGAATAAACCGCAGTCATTTGTGTCCGGTCTGTAACCGTGAAGTTCATTTGAACAGCAAAAGTCAAACCACATGCAGCCTCGGAGGCTAAAGCTGGTTTGCCTTGTATATGACCATACTTCAGTAACAGGGAAGTTCCCCCAACGGAGCCTTAAGCCCCCTTATAACGTCTGACCAGACAGAAAGCAGGGGTGGAATGAATATACACGTCTTTTACATAAGTAAGAGTAATGTAACAATACTCCTTTCTAAGTAAAAAGGCTGCATTCAAATTTGAGTACCAGTATTATCAACAAAATGTGCTCAAGCTGTAAAAGTTATAGTCCTCATTATGCAGGCAAAATGGCTTCTGTGTTAAATCATTTTATTACTGGATAATTATTACTGATGCATTCACATGTTACCAGAATATTAACGTCACAGCTGCCTCAGGTGGAGCTAATTTTACACATTTTATACACTATTGGGCGGTTTAATTCACTGTATAACAATGCATTGTATTTCATGTGCTCGTTATAAATTCTTAAAAATCTGCAAAGTAATTAGTAACGATGGCTGTTTAAATAAATGTTATAGAGTAGAAAGTAAAATATTTTCCTCTGAAATGTTGAGTACAAGTACAGAAATTTACTTGGTTACTTTCCACCACTGCTGGAAAGTCGGGGGAAAAAAATCTAATTATTTGTATTTTTAAATATGTTATTCAGTTATTAAATAATATTTTCTTTAATTTCATGAAGGTCTCACTGTTGTTTCAAAGCCTTCGTCACAGGAGTACAGTTCTTTTGGAGAAACACTGAGATTTTGTTGACTCAAATTTAAATGTAATGTGCTATAAAACCAGCCTATATAGTGGAAAGAAAACCCAAGTTCAGACCCCTGAAATCACCCAAAAGTACAGTGGAAATGAAAAAAGAAGCTCCACCTGCATCTGAGAGGAGCAAAAATCAAAGTAATTCTAAAAAATCAGGGTGAAATATGTGAGGACTTCCTTGAGGAAACTGTACTGATGGATTAGATTGTTGTTTGTTACAATCTTCAATTGTTAGGCTGTTTTTAATAATGCCCTTAAAGTAATATTACATGTGCACAGTACTTTCTCACTGGTGAACAGGCAGGTTATTAATACAGATTATTGCCATTTTTTTAAAAAAAAGGGAAAACCCAAATTAGATGTGTCATTCATCATATTAAAAGCGTTGCTGCTGTTTTGGGGTTTGTATATGTCAGATTAGATGTTGTTAAATATCCTCAGGGAAGCAATCAGGTGTTCATAGTTAAGGGCAATTCCCTGCACTACACACAATCAATAAAAAAATCTAAGAGTGGGGACTGTAATAGGGTTGGCTTGTAACCTGCTCTGACAAATTAAGGCAAGTAGTGTTTTTTCATTACTTACACATCCGTTTTCATTTTTCCCATCAGTGGAACCAATTAAACAATGCTTCCTTAAATTAGTCATTGATTTTTAGCAATAGTGACACTTTACAGAAGGAAATAATAACTTTAAGGGAGTGTTGCTGAGGGTTTCTTTTCATTACTGCCAGTCTTGTTAAGGACAGAAGCAATTCACCTACATGAAAAAGTGGTGTCTTAAATTAGCCATTGATTTTTCCTCAGGTGTCACTTTGGTTAAATGCTTTGAGGTTGGTGGAGTTTTCTCTCAAACCTGGAAATTGACAAGGGTCCATAATCTATTAGCCTTCACACACACACACACACACACACACACTTGCTTGGTTTGTTTGCTGTGGTTTTTCCACTTCCAGTATGTAAATTTATGACCTTTCCTTCCAAGAAAGGAGTGATAAATGTTGAGCTTACGTGTGGAAATCGCCACAGAACTGCATTTTTCTATCGGATTCAGAGCAATAGAAAACACAGCCAAGAGAAGAAAACACTGCAGTTCTTAACAACAAAACTTTTATGTGATGATTCATTACGTAAAACATCTGAAAAGTGGGGGATAACTTTTGTTTTTCAGAACTATTTTATTACAGAATTTTTGCTATTGCCAATCCCATCCCACACATGTGAACCCTCGACAAACAAAACTCAGACTGACCAGATTCTTTTTAATGCTCAGAATTGAACAAAAACAAAATTATAAAACAATAAAATAATTAAAAAAAATATAAGAGAAACCCAGAACAGCAGGCCGTAACTGCCACACTTCTTTACTTTTTTTTTCTCTTGAGACTAGAAAATACACTTACAATTTGAAGCAGCAACAAAATGTGCATTTACCTGATTATACAATGGAACACTATTTTTGTTATAACATGAATTTTTTCTGTCACATTATAAAACTCTAAATATTTCTTATACCTTTTTTTTTTCTTACCAAAAAGCAACCTTATCAATGGCAAAGCAACTGGTTTTTAAGCAAAATATACACCTCATGTTCACCTGGAACAAAACAGAAAAAGAAAAATCAGGGACATATTTGACTTTATGTTTGATTTTTTTTTTTTTTTTTTTCTCTTTTAAGCTTTTATTGTTGAAGCCAATAAAATCACTTCTGTATTTTTTTATTTCGGGATGCAAATAATATCCTGAATGTGTTGATCGATTGATTGCTGTGTCCACTTGAACTGTACATACACTTTCACCTGTTATTCATTGAAAAACTGAACACCTGAATAACAAATGAATGAGGAAAAAAAAACTGCTGTTTATAGTGAATGAGTTATTTTACAGCGGCCTGTAGCTTTATTGATTATCCTAAACTCGGGCCGTTCACATGTGATGCGGAGAAAGTATTTTCTTCGAGAGCATCCTTGCGTGCCAGAGTCTCATCGTTACTAACCCACGAGGTTTCTTCAGCCGTCGAGAGGGATGATCCAGTTTATGTCGTTACAGCAAAAAACACCTACATGATGAGATCTACAGTTTGATTGGACGAGGGGCAGAGATCATTGGCAGACGAGAGGTGCTGTGCTCAAACTGGTGGTGAGGCAGTTCTCACTGATGGTAGCTAAATGTCTCTTTTATTATCACGTTACTTTTTCAAGTCTATAATCATGTCACTTCACCATTTAAGTATCGTTACAATACGTCGCCAGTATTCACTTAAATGAACATGAAAGTACAGGATGGCGGTTTTGAGGACAAAACTAAAAAAAAAGGACAGTCGAACAAAAGCGATTATCCTTCGATTTGCTGCACGCGTGCAGACAAGACTGTTTCTTTTGCAGGAAGTCGAAGATTCAGTCCTTGGGTGAGCATGAATTAGCCGTAGAGTCCTGTCTCACCGGGGCGCCACATGCTCCAAATCATAGGAATAAAAAAAAACAACAGAATGATTCCCACATTAATGTACAAACATAAGCAAAAGCCGACCACATAGCTAGCCCCTGGCAGGTTAACACCGCGCCGGTCCTGTCCATAAAGTGCACTCTCCATCCTGCTGTGCGGCTTGGACGTCAGAAAGAGCAAAAAAGAGGTTTATGTGAGAGAGACAGAGAGAGAGAGAAAGGGAAGCTCCGCTGCATGTGTGTGTGATCAGTCTTGTTCCCGGAGCGACTGTGAATTAGAGGACATGACAGTCCCAGGTGTATGTTAGGAGGAGGCGGGGGGGGGCAGGGGAGAGTGGAGGTGTGTGTGTGTGTCTGTGTGTGGGTGTGTGTGGTTGTGGGGCTGACGTTAATAAACATAGCCCTCGCTGTAGGGGTGCGGCTGGCAGTAAGGCCCCTCCTGTACGTAGGCCATGTTTTCGTCAAAGTGCGACAGCGGCACCGTGTCCTCCTCGTTGATCTGCCGCTCCATGTCCGTCTTCAGCACCGGCCGCTGATTGTCGGGAAACGCCATGGAGAACAAGGCCTCGGGGTCGCACACGAACTTGTAGACGTATCTCTCGCCGGCCACCTGGACGGAGATGGACGGGACGAGGAGGAGAGAGGTGGGGAAAGAAATGAGTTTGGGCTTTTGGTTGCAACAATTGTGAATCCATCAAACTTAAAACACCACTGATAAACCACCATAGATACCAAGTATACAACATTATCATTTAATCAGAAAATACTATAAACAAAATACCCTTACTCGTACATTCACATCCATCTTTCTTCTACCAAAATGATTCATCTCAACCTATTGTTCCATTTGTAAATACAAAGGAACAAATTCTTATAACCTCATCTTTAAAAAAAACACACACACACACACACACACACACACACTCAAATCTCTTCCATCTCTTAATATTTATGGATAAGCCTGAAAAATGTCATTATCAATCGACAAAAACGGCTTCAAGTCAAGTCAAATTTGACGTGTTTTAAGCGTGTTGGACTTTTGGTTACATGAAAATCTCTTTGAGACATAATCTCAGTTTCTTCTTTCAATAAATTTCACCTAAAGTTACTAAGTTGCCCTCCTAAATACTTACTTCCACTGTGTGTTCACACTGGAAAAGCCACCAAATAAGAATAAAAAAACAAAATATTAAGTGTGATGTTGTTGATGTGTCACCCACAATGCATTGCACTAAAGGAATTAGAGGAGCTGCTCACGGCTGTATTGTCGATGGTGGTGAAACAGCTCCAGGAACATTTCAGAAAACAAAAAATAACTATCAAATGTTATCTCTTTGTTAAGTTTAACTAACTGAAGTTTGACGTGGAAGTATTGTATTATTGTATAACTGCGCACAAACAAGCTTTCAGTGCCTTGATCTTCATCAGGTTCACCATGTCTGAGATGCTCCACCTCCCCATATAAGCTACCCGGGGGAGGGGAGTTAGCACATGCCCCTCCTTTAACACAGGTGGTATCAGTCAGGTTATTATTGTGCATACGAGCTCCAAATGCTTCACCTGAAAATGGTGAGCTGTTTTCATAATATGTGCGTGTAAGCAAAGATCCATTTGTGCTAAAGCAGAACAGAGACGTGGGTCTCCTTTAATGTTCTAGAGATTCTTTATTTTTTTTGTTACCTTTTGCATGATTCCCTTCTCGTAGTAGTAGCGCAACGATCGGCTGAGCTTGTCGTAATTCATCGCCGGTCGATTCTTCTGTATCCCCCACCGGCGTGCCACCTTTGTATCGCACAGATAAACAACACAAAGAGAGTCGGTAAACAACAACAGAGAGCAGGAAGCTGCCAAAATGCAGACGCATCACACACAAACACGCACGGTCGACCTGATTTCCTGACAAGACGGTTGCGGCAGCTGAAATGTTAAACAAACTTATTAATCCATATTTTCCTAATAACAGTAATTAGAGTGCGTCCAGCTTGAGCAGACCTGACCAGGGATGTGTTCATTAGGAGCTTGTCACACACCCAGCGGAGGAGGCAGCAGATGTTACAGCACCTGTCTACCAGACCACCCACCACCCGGCCTCGCAGTCCAAACCCACAGCCCCACAGTGCTCTCCTCAGCTTCTCCTCTGCAGTTTTTACTCTGTTTCTCACTTCACTTTCTCTCCTTTTGTTCATCTATCGGTTGTTTCTCTCGGATCCCATCGCTGGAAGAAGAAACTCCGACAAAACATCAGTGGATCCGCTGTCTTTTATCGCAGACATGCTACACCTGCCCGGTGAAAAGGCAGACGCCGCTAGCTAGCGTTTCTGTGTCTGCGGCGGCCCAAAGTGCGTGCGTTTGGTCACCTGATGGCATGAATGGGCCCCCCTGTTAGCTGCAGCTGGCCCGTGCCTCCACACACTGTCGGGCTGCGTGGACCTCTGCCAGCTACCCCTCTATCTCCTCCGTTCTACAGTCCCACCCCCCGCCTGCACCCTGCATCCTCCTCCATCCCCCAACAGTGAGCAACAGTGACTGAGCCCCACTGTGTGTGATGTGGGCGCACACAGACCCAGCCTCTGTTTCCATTTCAAAGGGCCCAACCGTCAACATGGGTTATATTTTTAGGAATATGTCCTGTGAAATATTTAGCAGTGGCTGGCCTTAAGGGTCAGTTGGATGGATGTGGTTGAGTACAAGCTAAATAAAAAAAATATTATGTCAAATCCAGGCCTGACTCCACCACTTTAAGAGCAGAGAACATTCCACTTCAGACGTTGACCTTTGACATTGTCTACTTTTGCCTGGATGTGTCACGCAACATTTTCCTTTTTTTGCTCACGTTGTAGCTGACATACTAAAAATGTCCTCCAGGCACAGATGTGACTGTAACGCACTGAACTAGAGAATTAATTTATTGATCATTTTACATAAAATATCATATAGAAAATGTCACAAAACTGTAAAAGATTTCCCAAATTGACATCTTCGGATTGCTTGTTCTATCAGACCAACAGCTTAAACCCTAAAGATAGATCCAGATCCTCCTTTGAGAAGTTGGAACCAGCGAAGGTTTGGCATTTATTTGTGATTATCGCAATTGCTGATCATTTTCTATTGATTGGCCGGTAATCTACTAAGGGTTTAGGAAATGCACACAAGGATTTAAATGTACATACACAAACGATATGTGTTGTGAAATGCATTGTGGCACGGCAATGCTAAGGCTGTGCTAAAAGAATAGTGTGAAAAATAAGAATAAGAAAAAAAGAAATATAAAGGATAGAAGTTTTATTTATATTAAGTCTCCTTAAAATCCCATTTATTATTTATTACTATAAAAATTGAAGACAAAAATATGAGTAAATGTAATAATGTGTCTCTGAGCCACTCACCTCCTCTGGCTCGATGAGTTTGAACTCCATGCCGCGGCCGGTCCAGGCGATGAAGTGGGAGTTGGACGGGTCGTCCAGCAGAGCCACCAGGAACTGCCAGAGCTGCAGCGAGCCTCTGCGCTGGTACGACGGGCCCTCGCGGTACAGGCCTGACTCCTGCTTGATGTCACCTGCAGGATACACAACGGACCCTCTCTGTATGGTGTTTCAACTTTCAACTGTACGCGGTCTTCAACGTAGTACTGAAAAGTGTTCTCACCTTCAGCCTTTTCAGGCACCACACAGGTATCATCGTAGAAATGCCTCACCACTTTGTCAAACATACAACCTGGAAAACAAGACATAAAGAAAAGGACTGTTTGATATTCATAAAAAATCCCAAAGTGCACCATCACAACATTCACTCGAATCATCGTTTTGTACCTTCGGTCCTGTTAGTGTGAGCCAGATAGCCGTCTTGCCGTAAGTAGACAGAATGGCAGCTAGGCACTTCTGCTGAAAGCCAGGCAAGAATGGGAGAGTGGGTGTTAAAGAGCCCGAAGGCAGCATTAAGAACACTATCTCAGTTATCTGAGAGCAGTCAAAGCCTGTTCACTGAATGCACCACTGGCTCTGATTAAAGAATATGCCCTCCAGCGCCAGCATTGCAATGGCTCCCAGCCACAGGCGAGCTCACTATATCACGCTGCTAATACACGCTCCGAGCGTCTCCACTCAGAGGAAGATTTACTACAGAATAAAACACGCCGCTCGTGTGAAAACACAAGCTGACATGATGTAAGTTTTGTCATAATGCGAGGGCTCAAGAATAAGCTTGAACACACTTTTTAGATCAAAACTACACGGACCTGAAGGTGTTAGTTTCTTTGACTTTTTTCACTGGATATTCTGTAACTGCAGCACGTTAGATAAATACAGCTATTTTTGATCTAAAGACCCCGTAAACTTATCTCTCAATCAGGTTCTGACTATGAATCACACATGAATACACAGTTTTCTGCCCAAATTAAAACTGTTTTGGTTATGTCAAGCTAGGGTTGCCTATTTTTTTCCTGGTTGAAGTGGGCGGGGCTCAGTTGGAAAAAGACGATGTCAACATATTTTCACGAATCAGGATTTAACAACATTTAAATGTGATCACACTGCTGTCAATCAAATCAAAAAGTGTTAAAGTCTTAATAAATAATACCCAAAGACAATAAAAACAATGTAAGTAAGTACATTTACACAAGTACTGTACTAAAATATACATTTTGAGGAAGTTTGAGTATTTCCATTTTATACTACTTTTTACTACTTCTACTCCACTACTAATATTGTACTTTTTACTACATTTACTACATTTGACATTATTCAGACTACTAATACAAATTAAAATAAACTAATACATTATGGATTAAACTACCCTGCAGTATATAAAGTAAATAAAATTGGCTCCACCTTTACCAGCAGCAACATTAGCGATGCTTACACATTAATGCATCAATAAGCATAATCTAATAATCTAATAATGAACTGGGCGTTTTCTGCATAATGAGTGCTTTGGTACTTTAAGTACATTTTAAGGCCAACACTTATGTACTTTTACACAAGTAACAGAATATTTCTTCACTGTGGTAGGGCTACTTTTACTTACATACAAGATCTGAGTACTTCTTCTAAAAGATGTTTTTTTATGTTGCTTATTTACAATTTATTGTAACCTAATAACTGAGTTTTTAGAGGCTTTAAAATAAAATGTGCAAAATATTGGTGCTTCCTCTCTAACATAGATTCACTTTGTCTTGTCTTTTGTAGAAATAGCTCTGTATCATTTTTAAACCACAAATATCAATTGAAAGATTTTGCACCTACTAGCTGATTTAAATCATTTAACTACACAAGTCTAATCACACCATTCTCTAAAAATTACTTTTGCACAGAAGCCTACATCCACCAGTTTGCTTTACAGCACTGTCCACATTGACTCATCCATTTACTGTATATGTCAGAACCTCCCACAACACAGACATCACGGTCATCAGCAGATCAAAAAACGGCCAAACAGGTTACAAAGTGAATGTTCAATAAACAGACTGAGGCCCTTCATTTAGGCCCATAAACATTTCTCTGAACTTCATCAAAGTAATGGGCTTGTAGAGGAAATTGCTGCTAATGAAATTACCAGCTCCCCTCCCATCCTTCCCAACAGGCCTGCTCCAGTCAACATGCTCCACTGTGACTGCTAATAAATTCACTCTGATGCTCCATCTTGGATATACAGTGCAGAACAGTAGTGGACACACTGCTGGCACACACCAGAATATACCCTCTCTCCCTCCTTATTTATAATCAATAGTCGACTCTGACCTTACACTGTGTGCTACTGGCTGCTTGTAGATACGACTGTATTTTACTGCTGCACTCATAAGTAAAAAATAAGTGAAATTTACATCTGACATCCTTAACAGCTCAGTTTATTGTCAGAAAATTATTCAAAAACAGTATTGATTGTTGTTATGTGAGAATTTGCTTATTTTCTCAGTTTTAAATTAAATGTCTTTTGGTTTTAGTCTGCTGGTCGGACAAAACAAACTTTGAAGACATCACTACGGACTACGGGAACATGGCACTTTTAAGACTTATTTTTTTTTGCTCTTTCAGACAAAATTATCGATAAAAGATTTAAATGATACATTAATCACTAATGAAAATAATCATTTATTATAGCCCTAATCTGGCCACATACTTCTGCTAACAGGCCACGACCTGGTAGCTAGTAGCCAGTTTGCCAAGAAATGTTAATTAGTATTTAAAAGTTCACACACATCTATGGCAAACTGAACTTGCTACTGGAAAGTGACAAAAACACCAATAATGCTTTTCCCTGAAACAGCAGAGCTGCTGTTGGGAAAACAAAGAAAGTCCATCGTAAAAGAGACCTGAAAGAGACCCACAGTGTTTTTCTAGAACTCATCGCCATGGGAAGAGGCTGCTTTTCTCCCTGACTGGTCACACAGACTCTGCTCCAGCTCTGCCTCTCCTGGGTCCTCTCCGTCCGCCTTGTGAATGAACCCAGCGGTCCGGCGTATGTTCATTCATGTCCTGATGTAGCCCCAGGCTCTGCAGAGGCCGCGGGGCTGATGATTAGGTCCCTTTACTCTCTAACTAAAGGGAGCGGACAAGCGTGGGAGGGCGGATTTTGGATTGTGACCAGGCATAGCTCCCCCCACCTCTTTTCTATTAGAGCACCACAGGAAATGGCGACCGGCGCAGACACCCGGCCCAACCAGATCCCCTGCCCTAATAATGGGCAAACTCAATAAACGCCACCCCCTCCTCCCTATGTCTTCTCCCATTCCTGAAATGATAACGCTCTGGCAGCAAAAAAAGAAGGGGGGAAAAAAAGGGCTGCTGTCGCTTCGTGGCTCTTACACTTACTAGAGTGGTTCAAGGTAACACAAACACAAATCTCTCACCTGAGTCGTAGGTGAAGTCTCTCGGCTCCTGCTTGATCATCATGGTGGCGGGGTATGTGTGGGGTAGCGGGGCCCCCATCATGGCCGGGTGCTCGAACAGGGGGTCGGGATACTCCTGCTTGAAGCCTTGAGGAGGGAAGGGGATGTTGGGCTCTGACATCTGCCTGTGGTAGATGGGCCGGCTGTCCCGAGCCATCGTCGGCGGGGAGGGGAACGAGTGGCACGGCTCTGAGAGCTGACGTCGAAATCTGAGGAGGACCAGAAAGATTCATTATCAGACCAAGAGCTCTGAAACTTCATTTTGTTTACTTTGAGCCTGTTTGCAGAAGAGAAAGACAATGAATGCCAAGTTACAATGATAGAATACATATTATATGACACTGTGTAAGTTGTCTGACTTATAGGTTATATGAATATGTAACACAATAATCCTACTAGCTTTCATTAAAGGATGAATGAAGACTATGTGAGGTGGTTGAAAGCAGGCCTGCTACTGATTTTGTTGATTAATTGATGAATCTTTTGTTCTATCAAATATCAGCTCATCACAATTTCCCCCTCAAATATTCACTTTATTATCACAGAGACAAAGAAAAACAGAAAATTCTCACAACTGAAAAGCTGGAACTAGAGAATGTTTTAAAAATGAAAAATGATTATCAGACTAGTTGCTAATTATTTTTCTGTTGATCGAATGATTAAATTCTAGAAAATGTTGTTGCATAGACTGCTCCCAAATGTCAAGAATGACCCTATTGTTGTTAGAAATGTACAATTTGAGCAAAGTAAGCAGAGAAACTAAAACATATGGAATTAAGGACCAAATATGAATTAGAAGTATTGAACATTTTAATACAATACTTAACACTCTTGTTAAATGAAAAATAAAATCTGTTTACAGCAAACTGTGGCTCTAAACCTTACATTCACTTCAGAATATGATGATTTCGATCTCAGAGGCCGATTGGCACTGTGTTTATTTATACACTTCACACAGAGCTTACAGAGCTGTTCTGGAGGTAGAAAACACATTTTCATGTGTGGTTGAGTGAAAACAAAAGAAACGCAGCTGTTGTACAACCTATCAACACACTGCTACTAACAGAAAAAGAGCAATCTAGCCATTTTAAGTTGTCTAAATAAAAAAGCTACATTAATTTGCTGACACTCCGAGACAACTCAATATGATTGACAGGGCAGGAAAGCAGAAAATATTTTGTTTTTAATGGTACACAAAAATATAGGCCTATTTAAATATGATGTTTTTCTTGTGAATTACTGGATAATTTTACCTCCTCACGCTTCTAAAATTATTCACCAGGACCAGGAAAAACTGGAAACAGCCCACTCTTTTATGGTTTCTGGTTATAACTCCTAAATACAGTGGATGTAACCGGTGATGATAGAAAAATGTATTTATCTTATGGGGTCACAAGCCAAACAGGTTAGAAAACCACTGCTGTTATATAATGAATTCTGCCATATGTTTTGTTCAGCACATCGAGTAACGTCTCAGATGTGTGCTCTTAAAAGCTGCAGTTTGTCGGCTCCTCCCACCAAACATTCAACCAATGAGATTCTACTGTAACTAAAACTCTGATCTACATCTGCTGCTGTGACCTTATTATAATACGTTCAGGGTACAACCGCCAGCTAAAAGCCCCAACATGTAAATGTGATGTAAATGTAAAAGGCTGCAGGGCTGCAGTACCTGTGGTCCATAGAGTAGGCGTTGTCAGGGAGCGGCTGTGAGGGCGGTATGTGGGCGTAGGTCCTGTCTGGTTTGGGTGTTGGAGCCCCCGTGGGTGAGGCATGATGGAGGGGGGACACAGGGGTGCTACAGGGGGGCGTCACTGGGCTGGAGGGCTTCATTCCTGCAGGCTGCTTCTGCTCATAGGCACTGTGGTAAACAGAAGAGAAGAGTTAAATATGCTTCTAAAAAGGGCCAGTGTTTGTCCACACTGAATGTGTGAGCTTAAGCTTTATGTTATATCTAACTCAGTAAAACTCAGATCATATGTTGCTGAGGTTACCCAGATCCTACTTAAATTTGGAAAGATAATACAGATGAAAAGAAAGGGATTTAAAAGAAAAATACTGTGTATTTTATTGTCATGTGAGGAAATTCTTAATCCAATTCTTCCAATAGAACAGAAGAGAAACATGTCTTTAACCGAAGGCACTCTTAAATTTGTACTTTTTGTTTGGTCAAGCGTCCTATATTCTCCATATTTTTAGAAACCTCTTTGTTTGCCACACTTTCATCCTTCCACATTATATATTTTTTAAATCAAATGTTGGCTCAGACACACGCTGACTACTTTCAATGGATATTTGTATTAAGAAACATCACACCACCTCTAGGCATACACCGTGGAGATTGTGATGTAAAGTAAAGCCCTGCCAATTGTTTGACTTTTTTCTTTTTTTATTGTCCCCTATATACATCTGAGCAGAAGTCACCAGGTGAGCAAATGAATCACACATATGATTCACCACTTATGAAACACAGTTTCGAGACACCTCTCTGCCTACAAGGTCATTACACGAGCTTGCAAGTAGAATGAATGTCATGCATTGCAAATCAAGTAAAAACAAACACCGCACTCGTGAAGGTGATTCGGATTTGCTGGATTTAAAAAGGAGAGATGCCATATGTGCTATTTAGCAATGTCATTTTCAGATAAATACAATATAATATAATGTAGAGCTGAACAAGTGAAAAAAAAAGACAACAACTGAATCACTCAGCATCCCTAAAATGAAACTGTTTCTAGGTCAACCTGTAAAACATAACAAAACTCTATCTAACTCTATTTATTTTTGCACACATGTTCACCGTTTTACAATAAAGCTCTTGTTGTTAAGAGCAGAACTGTACTGTAACTGGAAGGTGTGTTGCAGTGCCCACCTGACGTTGTACGGGCACTTCTCTCCATACTGGAGTTTGAAGGGCCGTTCCTGACTACAGTTGGAGCTCAGCTCTGAACACGGGCTGTGCAGCTCCCTCTTGATCTTCAGCTGCAGTCCGTGGAAAGCCACTACAGCCAGAGAGGAAGAAAGATGGGAGAGAAACTAATTTAGATACTGCATGACAATGAACCACCTCCCTGTCAAACAGTAACTTGTTAGGTATCAAACAATGTAGGTTTAAGAGTAGGTGCAAATTACTTTTTTTTTTGATAGTGCTCAGCATTTTTGCAGCAGAATAATATTTTAGGGTGAATAAGCCCCTGAAACTGCATTTATACTACCACTGGACTGAAATTCACTCAATCTGCTTCAGTTATTAGTGTTTATTAGAATTATCAGCTATTTATGTCAGCTTGAGCCACAACCTTGATCCTCATTTTACTTCATGTCCTACAAATCAAACAGAAACAATAAAATGAATCAGTTTCAGGAGGACATTTCTACTAGTTTTAATCACTTCCTTTATGTAGCTGTAGTGGATTATGTGACTTTCCATTATTCAATATTTAACCCATCTTCTGCTACATCATGGACTGTATTACAGCAGCTTTTCCTCAACCAGATACCAATATGTGCACCAGGCCATCGCTGATTAAGAGAACTCATGATGGATAAAGTTGAAAGACTAAGCATCCGTCCACCAGCGGATCTGACATCTCAGGCCATCACTTACACAAACAACTCACTTCAAATCTCATTTGTTTGGCCTTTTTCCTGACAGGGACTCTGTTAGTGAAATATGACAATCATAAAACAGGGTGTGCGGCGAGCTCCTATAAATGCTCTATCTGCTTTCAGCTGGCTGTCAATACGTTCCAGACGACAACAACAGGGCTCATTGATCTAAAGGGGGAGGCTGCGCTCTCTACCTATGGCCCCACAGTGAGCCTGGTGCATCTGAGAGGCTGTTAAGTGCCTGATCAGTCCTGATTAACATCCCATCATCTCAAGTCATGATCAACGCTAATCCAATTGGCTGCGCTTCTGACGAAAACCCAGTCAGTCAGAATGAAGTCAGGCTCGGGTTGCCTCGCCAATCGTCGTCTCACCACGACTGCACACAGAGGGCGAGTCGTGGTTGAAGGGGATGATTTCTGACTGATGTTTCAGGCTGAGAGGTGAACTTTTCCTGAGTTAAAAACAAAGCCACCAGAAATTATGAATGGAGGAAGGAAATCCATCAACTCCTGGTCCAACTAAAGTACAAACATTTAGACCCATAAGACTCTAAATCTGTGGTTTGGGAATATTTTTCTTTTAAACAAACCCACAGGCGGGAAGGTCTCTGAGGCTACAGGGAGCTGAGAGAGGAGGATGTTTTGGGGAGTTTTCTCACGGCTGACTGACAGCTGCCGTACGAGCAGGGGTCGATCTGCCAACACCCCATCTGACGCACAGCAGAGCCCCTGGGGGACGGGCCACACGGGCCCGGCATGACAAAGCTCAGGGGTTGTTCGCAGCCCTCGCTGGGGGCCTGACCTTTCCGGGTCATCGATCGGAGGTCAAAGAGACACTTCCTGAGGAGAGACCTTTGACGACGCAGGCATGGCAGAGCCTCGTTAAGGGCTTACGGAGTCAAAACAATACCTTTAGTTTTGCCTGTTGAGATCACAATCAGTGTCGCTTTAATTACCTACTACAATAAACATACATTTCATTCTTTTTCTGAGTTTGGTACGAGAGTTACCTCCCCTGACGTCTGGTTTGCGGCTCACCTGACACATTTCTTTTCTTAGTTTAACACTGAATCAACATCAGTTTCCATTCAGGTACTCATTTTACATATGAAATGTACGACTAATGTCGATACAAACGCTGTGTTTAACTATAAGTGTCAGCAGCTATTAACAACAGCTTTCACGTGTGCTGCAGCACAAGGCCTTAAATTAGAAATGGAAATGTCACAATAGATTTCGTCAGCGGGGTGCCAAGGTACACAAATCAATAGCGAGGGCATTGCCTCTGACTAAAACAGAGACTTCCTTTTTAGTCCAGAATGTCATGCCCATCACTGCTTGATTGCTCTCATTATCTACATATTGATTAACCAAGATGGTAGGGTGTTTAAAAGAAGAAGCAGTTAGAACAATTACTGGGTCTATTTTGAATGCAAATGTTTTTTGTGTTGGTTTTTTTTTTTTCCTCTGCGCCATTGACTCAAATATTCTGCAATTTTCTTTGGTCTTTGGTGTTAGAATAGAAATCGTTGCTTTAAATGGAACAATGTGGTCACAATTTTGCAAAAACATTAAAAATCTTTGTTTCTGCTGTGCCACACATGTAAGGGAAGATTTAGTAGATTAGGCATTTGTGGATTTATTTTATTTGACATTTTCCTGCAAAATGTTATTTTAACTGCCATTTTTCTGGCAATCCTTTTTCGACACATTATCAAAGATCTCTTGGCCCCGAACGTTGTGTATCCTCAGGTACAAATGGTGTGTTTTGGCAGAACCAGAGCCGACGTTTGGCAGATATTTCTCCACTCCATTCATAAAAAAATACAGGTCTTTTGGCAACAGCGAAAAACCTTCCATTCCATTTTCACCTACTGTAGGTGCTCGCCTTTGCTGTTAAATGATGGAGGCTCAGATCTGCTGGTAACGTGTGGCCTCATTTTACACCTCCTCTACTCCTTCGTTCCCTGCTAAGTTATGCTAATGGTAAGCATCTGTGTTGGAGTTTGAGACAAAGAAAATTCTCCTTCTCCTCCTTCAGCCTGAGGACACTTTCGCTTCGAGGATGCTCACATGCTGCTTCTGTGCTGCATGGATGGAGAGTGCGAAGTCGACATTGAGGGAAACTGCCATAGCTTCTCGAGAGGTGATAAATCTGAGGCCATGGAAATATAAAAAAACTTCTCCCTGACTCCTCAACACTGATTCCTCTCTTTCATTCTTGCCTTCTCCTTTTGTTTTATTCCCAGCTTTTATTCTCCTTCTGGATGTGAACTGAACAGAATACCAACCAAAACACACAAAAATGTAAAAAAAAAAAAAATACTTATGCTCTCCCATTGCTGTTAATTTCATTGAAGCGGATGTAAAACTACCAGAATAAACATCTATTTATATAAAAATAAAAAGCAGCTAATTCAAAATGGAGCATTTAACACTATTCTTGTTTGGGGGTTTTTTTGTTCAATACATGTTTTGGTACATTTTAAAGAAAAAAATATATTGCCATAAAATTTTACTATAAAAAAAAAACTATTGCAACACTAATTGTTTATTTTATTATTGACTAATGCTACCAACTAGCAAGCAAACAATAAGGCTAACACCATAACTGCACAAATTACTTTCGGGTTGATGCTAACTATCAAAGACGTTTTTTCAGAATAAGGTGAATGCTAATTAACTTAAATTTAGTTCAAATGAAATAAACTAATGAGTTAATGCTTATTTATTTAGACTGCAGTGGATTTTATTTTGTACCTTCGCTTAACTTTTCTTAATAAGGCTAAATTTCCTAAAACAGCTTGGTATTGTAGTCTTTAGCAAACATAACTGAAAGAGGAGTAAACGAGGCATTTGATGGGAACTATTTCCAGCTGAGAATTTGGGATTGATTCAAAATAAACTACAGTGTGTGTGTTTGCTGTAATAAAGGGAAACATCACCCAGGGATCAGATACATCCGCCTTTGGATATAAAATTAATACTCGATTGTAGAATCAATGTACTGCTGGTTTTGGTGTTTTCAGTAGATTTGTTGTTATTAAGGAGAAAATGGTACATGGTATATCCTTAAAGTGCACTTTGTTGCTGTAAAGAGATTCACTATGTATTTAGCTCCTTCCACCCCCACTGTCTTTCCCTCCTCACTCTCTTCTCTTACAACTTCCGTCTATACCTCTTTCCATCCCCACCTCGGTTTCTCTATCTCACCGTCCGCCCCTCCATCTCTCGGCTCGGTGAAACCCATATGGGAGAGCTGCCGGCTGGGATGCCTGCTCGAGCGCCCAACCACGGTGCCCTCACCCTCCCGCCATCTGTTAGTGCCTCTCCAGTCTGCTGCAGGTTTGCCAACAGGACAATTCAGATGGTCAGCAGTCTCCTGCCACCGTGGCCACCCACCCTGGCTACCTCTGAAGGACAACGGGACAGTCTCGGTGACCTCTGGTTCTCTACTGTACACCACACCGCTCCTCCATCTTGGATTTTAGGGTAATTCACACCAGTGGGTTGGGTTGTTAGTTTACTGTTGCCCTTTCTGAACTGTATGAAATCAAGTCAGATGAATGGGAAGAATTTGAGAGGGCAAAACATTCCAAGGACAAAAGGGAGCATGAGGATGATTACACCCTCAAAACTACAGTTTATCTAAGCTTGTCTTTATTTAGTCTGTGGGACAGTAGTTGCAAATAATGTCTCCAAACAAATAAATCTATTAAGGATGCTCAACGGCCATACAAGAACCACAACGAAAGACCTTCGTTAAATGCATGCACGAAGTTTCCTAACATAAAAGCAAGACTTGTGTTTAAAAGGATGATACTGTTCTCGTCAGCCTGAGCTCCTCAGGTTTTGTCATTTCAAGGTGTAGGAGAATTGATGGCAAAAAAAGAGAAAAAATAGACCCCCCTCTGGTTTTTAATCTAGGAAACCAACAGGATCTCAGGCTGTCATCTGGCTCACAAGGGGTTAAAAGGTCTGTGATCTCACCTAATGCCAGACCCATTCCTGTTGAATCTTACCCAAACTGCTAAAATCTTACAATCTACTGTAGAACTAAGATATTGCCAAATGCAAATATCATATATGACCCTTTTCTTTGTTCGAGTTGAGGATCCTCAACTCTGCATTTTGTCCAACTTTGTCTCCAGGTTAAAGGGCATTGAGGACATAGAGAAGACTTGTTTTTGTGTCTTTTCTCACAGTTTCATGGGCATTTTGGCTCATCTGAAAGACATGTGCTCGCTCCGGGTCCCACTGAGCTCCACTCACTCCATTTCTGTCCCCACCTTGGCACTACTTCCTCCAGAAGTGGACCGTGCCAAATCACCAGTCACCGTGTGCAACCACCGTGCACGACCAGGTGAAGTACGGCTAACTACCTCATCCTTATTACCGCAAATGTACAATCAGCTCAGGTCAGGAGATAGGATTTTTGATCAAACTCTTAGGGAGTATTCATAAAAAAATTTTCTTGCAGGAATAAATAGAGAAAGCAGGAAAATAAAAATCCCCACTGAAGACTGGGGAGTGTACCAGAAGGCCAACAAGCCTTCAACTGAAAAGGATAAATGTAGTATTTACTAATATTACACTGCCTGATTTAGAAAATCTAACCACACTGGATGGTTTTGCACAAAAAGCATCTAGAGGAAGGTCATCCAGGAGCATTTTTTAAAGATTTTATTAAAAAAATATTCAAAAACAGCCATCAATTGACAGCAGTTTGGCCTACCTGGATATAAAAATATCACTTCAACCCCCTGAAAAAATATGCCACAATATTTTGATGTTTATGCAAATAAATCACAGTGCAATAATACCTCGGCGATGGTGAGAGGCACATGAGCAACAGAGGGAAGGGAGAGACAGATACAGAGAGAGAGAGAGAGAGAGAGAGAGAGAGAGAGAGACACCCCCCCCACCCACCCATGCACCTGTCTGCAGACCCGCAAGACTGCTGCAGCTCTCCAGAGAGCACTTGTGCGAGCAAAGGTGAGGGTACTGAGAGACACGGAAAAACCCACACCGCCACATGCACTCTCCCCGAGTACAAACACACCAGTCGAGAAAAAAATACCCCACCACAGATGTTGACACACACCCAAACACAAGCGCAAACGCGTGCACAAACACGCAGAGAAAGAGCGACGTGGTCTCTTACTCACAGTTTTCAGTCTGGAAGTCTGGAACGAACTGCTCGTCATTGTCGGGAACTTGAGCTAAAGACACAAGCAGAGAAGAAGAAAGGGAATGATTGTTTCTGATGTTGATGGACAAACGCAGCATTGATCACAGCTCTCTACAGTCCAATACCCGTCTCCTGGGATGTTAGGTTGGCCTATCCCAGCATTGTTTGCCTCTGCTGACGGTTAAAGAACACAGCTGCGAAAAATGTGTTTAACAGAGAAAGGAGCAGTTTGTGTTGCTTTGGTGCAAAAAAATAGTCCAATAAGGTTTTATATGTGTTAATAACCTCGAACCTACAAAAAATCACTATAAAAAAAAATGTGTTTGTCTTTTTTTTTAGTAGGTCCGTTTAGTCCAGTCCAGGTCCAGTTCTGACCACTTTAAAGACTTATTGTCAAAGTTACCTTAAAATCAATTAAATCTCCATTTTTTTTTAAAATTCTAGACGTAAAAATTTGATTCTAAAACAATCTGCCTTATTGGGTCTTGTATCAATATACAGACTCTATTCCAAAACAGTTCTTTAAATAGGTTGATTTTTATTGCAAATAAGTTGAAAAAATAGATTTTTTTTCTTGTTTTGATAAAATCTGACTTCTATGGCTTGATAATGGGAAAAAAATGCAAAGAAATGCACAAGAAATTACAACTCTTAAAAAATCAATGTACAAAATAACCTTGAAATGTTTAGAGCAATATGTTTTCTGAAAGAATTTGTACAAACGCCAGCCTGCGAGGGAGATAATATTTAGCTTTAGTCTACTTCCTAATTCCACTTCCTGAGGTCGCCTTGTCCATTGACTGCTCCGCAGCCTCAGCTCTCACTCCTTGCCAGCAGCCAAACACCCATTGTTAACAGTATCTAATTGGCTTCTTCCCTACTGGTGAATCCACCTGTACCTACCGAGTTAGGTCTGTTCCAAACCTTCCAACGCTTCACCTGCGCCTCAAACGCCCCTGCACTCAGGCTAATGCTAAAATAATGAAGCCTGCTCCGCTCCGGCTCCAATTAGGCATGTACATATTTATATCACACATATTTACACTCGGTGACAGTTCTCCGTGTCCCTCAAGTTTCAACTCTCTCTGGCGAAAAGCAAAAAGGAGATTTAAATGTGTCATTAGCACGTCTATTTATACACACAATGAGGTGGATCCTCATTATCACAGCATCAGTAGCATGTCTCGACATGTCTACAGATCTTTAAAAAAATCACTGATTTTTCCATTTTTGTCGCTCTTGATATGATCAGGGATGTTTTTTTTTATTTTTTCTTGCCAGAGGTGTGAATTGAGGAGAGTAAACAATCAACAGATCAAGAGGAGAAATTGCTGCATATTTTCCAACAATGTCAAGCGGGTGAAGAGAGCAGCAAACAAAGAGGTAGAAATGAGTTCACTCTACTGTAGATTACGCTGTAGTTAAAGCTATCAACCTTCTATTGTATGCACTTCTTTTAAAACACAATTTGTACGTCAGCCTGGTTCAATTAAAAACAACTTGGGCTTCTTTAGTTTATTACTCCACTTTGTTACATGCTGTCTTAAAGGGCCACGACATGAAAATTTGAATAATATACTAACCCGAAAACTGATATAAAGACAAGTCCTTACGTCGTAACTCAAACTTTCTAACACACTTTGACTCCAATCATATTTCTTTCCATTCAGAAGTCAAAACCACGACAATCAAATCTCTCAAACTAACACGATGATGAAAAAGACAAAGACAAGGGTGTAAAGACATAGCTCTCGTCTCGCGAATTACAACACAAACAAACTCGCAAGAAACTTCAGAGAACCTAACTTGGAAAGGGACAAAGAGAGGAGAGATGAGAAACCAAACCAAACCAAACCAAACCAATAAAAAAAACATTAAAAAAAGAAGGCAGCAGTGTCTCTGTGTCCAAAAGGAAGTACAGGATGGATGAGTCACCGGCCTCAGTCTGTGAATGAGCCAGCTGATCCCTGCAACAAACTCCTGGGGAGAACGGCAGAGCTGGAAATCTGCCGCCATTCACAAAACAAAAAAAAAAACAAAAAAAAAAAAAGAGAGGGAGAAGGACAGAAGGGAGAAAAAGGAGTGGAGGATGAAAAGGGAGAAGTTGTAAAGGCTGTAAACACGAGGCCTGAGCAGGAGAGACGACTGGAGGCATACTCTAACCCTGCGACTGCTCTGTGTGTGTGAGTTTTAAACAAATTTAACATTTTGCCTGTGCCGGTTTTAAAGCCAGATTTGTTTTCTCAGCACCGGGATTTCAGGGAGAAATCGTCTCGTAAACAAAAGCAAAAAGCAAAAAGTGAGAAATCTCTAAAGATTGAGACTTTTTTTTTCCTGGCAAGAAATAAGTCCAGCAGACCTGGTGGTAGGTGGAGGGGCAGAAGTGGTTTGTGGGTGTCAAACATACTCCTGTCAGCTGACAAACGCCCTCAACCTCTCGGTCTCACAGTCGGAAATTCAGTCTGTCTCTCACAATTCCTGCTCTTGTTCCAATTACCTGAACTAATAAATCTTAGAAATGGGGAGGTATTCCTTTTCATCTTAATGGACAGGAAGTCATTCATTAAATCTACAATCTTGAAGCGTACATCATCACATTGATCCATGACAGGCAGAACCGTAATCCTTAACAGTAATACCTCTTATCAGCCGCCGCCGTCTCTTTTCTCACTTTGGATACTGAAATATTAAAATCGTGTCTTATTCTTTTACACGCCCTGCGGTGTGCGCCGCCCGCGCCACCTCCTAATCTAACTGCTGCTCAGAGTCGGCTCAACTACTCCAATATCTGTTTCAAAGCATACTTTCCATTTTTTAAAAGCTTTGGATTGGACTGCGAGCATTTTCAAATGTGTTAAAGAATAGATGGAGCCTATAAATGATTGAGAGTCTTATTCACCTGTGTGAAGGGTGCAAGCTAAAATTTCTCCAGACACTTTTCCAGGGGACGTATTACGACTCCATCCTTATTTTTATATTCAAGTATTAAAGTTGATTCAATTATACCGTGCACTTCAGAGTTCTACTTTATAACCAGAATTATGGCTTTACAACCTGAGCACTCACTGATATGTTGAAATAAGATATTTTTTAGGGGGCAGTTTGGCATGTAATTGCTGCAAAGCTATGATAGAAAATTTGTTTTTTTTTAATTATTACAAATTCTAACTGACTTATTTACACAAATAAAACAGCATAATATTTAAAAAGTTAATATTTGTGCTCTTTTACAGTAGATTTAAAGCTGTTCTCATAATTTATTATCCAAATTTTAATTAATTAAAGGACTAAAATAACCCCCAATTTCACACATTAAAACAATTTTTCAAATTTTCAAATTACATTTTGAACTTGAACGTAAAAATGCTTTTTTTTTTAAAATAAATTAACTAAACCTTTTAACATTTTATTTTCTTATTACACTGTATGTGTATACCAATACGGTGTAAAGAGAAGATACAGTCTGCTGTTTTTTATCAGCGTTATGGCACATTTGCAGAGAAATTACTGGCAATTTGTTTTACTTTTTAACTTCATATACATGCAAAAACTAGTTTAAATCACCCTTTCAGAGCAATTGTGTGCTTTTACACTGTGACTTTACACTCTGACTGGATTTTTTACACTGAAAGAGCAAGTCAAAAACTACTTCCAATAACTCTGAAAACGTTTTACTTCTCACTGCAAAACTCTAAAATATCCAACTCGCACTCTACTGAGACTTAAACTCTCAGGTTACATGCAATATTCAAAGCAAGTTGCTTCTTAGTGAGATGCAAACACAAAAGTCAACCAGAGATACTAAGTGGAACATGCACATGCACATGAAACACGGCAAAGTCTGAAAAAGATTGAACAATATTCACCACTAACCAAAACTTCGGTGCTGCAGACACGGTGGAAAGAGGACACTCGCACTTAAATCCTGAAGCATCACGTCTCAGTTAGACCACAATGAGCAAGTCTTGCCATTAGAGAAAAAAATAAAATAAAGAGCAAAGCAATGGATAAATGTAAAAAAAAAAGATCTATTGTGGCTTTGAGAGACTGATTCTGGTGGTTTGGAAGTCTGCGATTTAAAAAAATTATAGATCCATTCTTTTTTTTTGCCGCCAAGAAATGAAATTGAAGAAGACAAGGTGATGGTACAGCTGGAGAAGATAGAGAGGTGTGCTGGGAGAGAGCAGAGAGAGAGAGAGAGAGAGAGAGAGAGAGAAAGGGGAAAGAGAGCAGCTGAGAGAGTGAGTGAGAGTGAGAGTGAGAGAGAGAGAGAGAGAGCTGGTAGGCTACAGCAGAGCTCTGGTGGAGGTGGAGGTGGTGGCGGCGGCTGGCGTGCAGCGCGTTAGCTCCTGCCAAAAGCAGAAGAGACAGTGAGCGTCGGAGAGCCTTCTCCTGGTAATTTGTGATGACACTCTCTGGGTAGAGCCTCCTCGGTCTCCCTCAAGACCCCTCGCTCACAGTCTCTAATGTATGCATGACACACAAGGTGCCTCTTCCACACAGGCTTTTAATTGGACTGCGACGCTAGGCAAGTAACTCCAGGCAGCTTTTTTCCCCCCCTCACAACCTTTTCATTTTTACCCATCTCTCCTCCTTTTTTGCTCGAGATTTAAAACACTCACCTTCTGCCAGCCAAGTCTCCTGCAGCTGACTGAGGTCCTGGAAGAGCTCTGGAGGGGGAACCGAAGCAGAGAACAAGGCTTAAGGGCGGTTTTAAGAAACAGAGTCAAAGCCCAGGAGAAGCATCAGAAACAACTGAGTTCATTATGGAGGGCTGATATGCCATCAGAGCCACTGAAGCTCAGTGGGCACGTGTGCAGCTAATAACAAGTCAATTTGTGTCTCTGACCACTGACAGAGGCTTGTGAGAATCATCACAGGCCGCTGTGTTGTAATTGAGATTCTGTAGTTAGCAGCGCAGGTGGCCACAAACCAATTGAATTTTGCTAAATGTTTAGGAGCCGTGAAATTAACTTCTCCCTCTGCCCTCTGCCTACCTTCAGTGTCCAGAGCCAGGTCGGACTTAATGAATTTTCTCTTTCTATCATGTGCTGGCTTCTGGCAGCTCGTCGTCTTTTCGTGCTGCTTCTGCAAAAAAAAAAAAAGACACAAATCAATTTTTTTTCTTTTCCTCGCTGGAGCAGTGATTCTGTTGTTCTGATGTTGGCTGCAGCACACGTGCAACTGAAAGAGCAAGTGGAAGAGCCACCTCATTGATGCCTCACACTCACTTCTAAAGCCTAACCCAATGCAAAGGAGCCCCCTGCTTCACTCAGCAGATATAGTTAACAAGTTGGAACACGGTGCACAACCAATAACACTGTGTATAGAAGTTGTTTAGCTGTTTGTATTTGATGATTAAATGGTCCCTGAGGGAGAGATGAGTCTTTGCAGCAGCAGAGAGAAAGGGCAGAGATGGGATCAGAACAAATAGGAGTTAAGAGAGGAGAACAGACATTTAAAAGAATATTTTAAAGACAGATCTGCATCTGGACCCTGATTTGCTTCCAAGTTTTGTTTGTTTTGTTTTCTAGTTAACGATCACTCACTTTGGAGTTACAATAAGGCACTTGCTGGTCGTGAAATCCATCCATTCTGCGCTGCTGTGGCTTTAACTGACGAGCGATGTGCAGAGTCTCCAGAGTCTCCTGTCCGGTCCCCCTTTCAAAGAGCGAGAGGGAAGGAAAGCAGAAAGAAAAGAGGACATGAATGACGGTTCCTCAGCTCGCCCTGAGTGACAAAAAACAAAAACACGTGTTTCATTTATTAATGCATTGTTCGGGAACCTCTACTGTTGTGAGACCGAAAATTACCGACGACAGCTCCGGCGACGCTGTAAAGTTAAGTTGACCATCTGCAAATGTCGTGCGTAAACGAGGAGCGCGCCGAAACGTCTCACAGAGCCAAACTTATGAGGCAGAGGAAGTATTTAAAGTGTGCAGTTACCTAGCGACCTCCCTTCCCTTTCATCCGCGCGCAGAGTGCCACGGAGCGGCTGCAGGATCTCCACAGTCCCGGCTGCTTGCCTTGCGCTTCTCCCCGCTCACTATGTTGCTTTCTAGCGGCTTGGCATCGCCTCCCGGGGCCTCCCATGGAAACAAGCCGCACTCCGCTTCCTATTGGTTGTCAATGTCTTTCACTGGATCAGATTGCTGGCAGTCAATCACGCACGGCTGCAGGCGGTAAGCACCGGAGTATTCACTGCTAACGTTCAACCGGCATGCGCCTTTTTTTTTTTTTTTTTTTTTTTAGTTGTTTTTAAAGTTTGGACTTATTTTTCACACCAGAAACAAACTTAAACATCATTTTTCATGCTTTTAAAGTTACACTTTAACACACATGCAAACTGCACCTGCACCCCCCCCTCTCTCTCCCCCTCTCTCTCTCTCTCTCTCACACACACACACACACACAGATCCTGTCTTTACCCTCTCTCTCCCTCTCGTTTCCCTCGCACACAGTGTGTACACACAAACACACTCCTCACTCCTCTCCCGGTCAAGTTTGTGTCCATGGTAACTGTGTTTTGAAGAGCCTCCAGAGGGACTTGCTGAAGCGCCAGCTCTTCCCTCTCCTGTAAGGGATACATTGTTGGGAGTGCCGAGGACCCGCAGAAGGCACTGACCTGGAAGGAAAGCACAGGTCACCGGGCAAAACTGAGGACAGCTTCCAAAAAAACAACAACCAAAAAAAAAAAAAAACACTGCTCCCTAACACACACACACACACACACACACACACACACACAGTCCAAACCTAAAGCTGCTTTAAAGTTTTAATCAACATCTACAATAATATCTCAATCTCAGTGGAAGTTTCCCTGGTTAAATAAAGGTTAAATAAATAATTAAGTTACAATAAGTTATTCACATTTAACACAAGGAAGCTTTGGAGTAGCTTACAACCACAGTCTGTTGTTATTAACAGGAATTAACTATAATCCTGACTATATAAAGTATAGGACAGTGTAGCTTCCTCACTAGTTAACTATAAGCTAAAGTCTACAAGCAGCTTTACAGTTTTTATGATTGTTTCCTAAATGGCTTACTTTCAGGTTATACACTAATAAAAACAAACCTATGAATATTAAATTCAATTTCTGCCAATAATTCCTAAATGTTACCCACTGGACCTTTAAATGTTTCCGGGTTTCCACAGGTCTTTAAAAACGTGTTGAAATCTGCAGAAACCTGGAGACATGACATTGATGTCGGGCTGTATGAATAAAACTTATTTGACAAGACTGTTTGAAACCTTGTCTTTTTAATGACTTACTGAGCTCATAGTTTGTTTATCTGTGTACGTGTGTGGCTGAAACCACTCAGAAGCCGTCAAGAAAGTTTAGTTTACGCAATAATCTGTCACCAACACTTACAATGTGCTATAATGTATATAACCAATATATAATGATAATAAAAACATTGTGAAAAAAACAATGTCTTATAGTCAGGATATTGGGAGAGATTAAGAGCGTAAAACAACTGTAGCCAAAATATTAATTAAAAAAAGGTAAAAAATATAAACTTTATTTAATGTTTCATATCGTATCCTTCGAAAACCTTCAGTGTTCAGCAGGTCAAACTGGGACATCCCACCCTGCTGCTGACTACCTTGTGTTGTGTTTTTAAATAGATTTCTTCCTGGAAAGCTCAACCATGATACTGTGGTATTCTGACCATATTCCAATATTTGCTTATATATTAATAGTGACTTTCTAGTAAATTTAATTAGCTTTTTATTTTAAATAAGATAAAAATGGAAGATTTAGAGAAGTTTATAAAAAAGAAATGTGTTTCTACAGTACAACAATCAACAAAGATTTCCCTGCACTGATACAGGACAGATCTAGGATAAACCCCTGAAAGGCAACTTTACCATTGCATTAAACACTTGACTGAAAGACGGACATATCGGAAGCCAGCAGTGGTCACGCTGATGCCATCTTGGATCCAGGCAGGGTTCCATTACCAGGCAGGTGAAGTGGATGTGAAGTGAAGTACTGTGTCACTCCTGCTGAACCCCCCCTGAGGACGAAAGAAACGCAGTTCAAGTGCAGGCGTCCACCCGTCTGACACTGAGACACGCAGTAAACCAAGTGCCACCCCAGACAATAGGCTAGAAAGATTTCTTTTTATCAGACTACTCCAGTCTAATGAGGTCCTGTCGCTGTAAGAGTCACCAGTTCGCATCCAGTGTGCATTTGGATACAGTTTGGGATGAACTTGGGGATACGTCTAACATCTTTGCATTGGTAAAAAACATTTAACATATATACTTATTTAAAAATCCGACCAATTTTTTTGTATTTAGATTGATTCCTCCTCGGTTTCTGAAGCTGCTTAAGAAGAACCAAAGAAATAAATGAAACTGTCGGATCACATTGCATCGCAGGGGTGAATTGTACCATATCCCACTGGTAGACGGTTCAAGTATCTTTAATGTATCGGATTGTTGGCAGTGCATCGATGTACGTATTGCATCGGGCTCAGCGATGGAGATGCACATCCCCGAAAGGTGCCTTCTTAAAATATTATTATTTAGCTTGTTAGCTGTTACTTTAGCTGTATCAATTGCTCTGTGTAGACTGTTTTTGCCGTTTAACTTAGCGACTTTAGCGAGAAGCCACCTGTCCATCAGGAAACTGATGGAGTAAGGGATTACTTTTACATACTTTTACCTCATTATTTGAAACTTTGGCCACGTATACATCCAACATGTAACATTATATGACAGAAAATAAGAGAAATATGTCCCCTGTAACAAAGTGAAAGCTTCCATAAATTGCTGTCAGCTTGGTGAAATATGGAAAAAACTGTATCTTCAATCAATATTTGTGGTCTACAGAGGTATGATGGTAGTTGGCTTATGTCTCCGACAACAACTCAGATGTCACTCGACCGCTGGCAACCACTCCCAGTTAGTTAGCTGGTTAGGAACTTTATTGTCCACGTTGTGGGAAATACTATGTTTGGCATCACCACATAGCGTTAAAAATAAAACAGGACAATTGACAAAGCACAATGATGACAAACAGCCGAGACACAGCGTCAACAAACAACATAAGGCTAAGATGTTTGTGACTAAACTGGATATGCATTCAGCTTTATAATTGCAGAGCAGCATGAAGCTTAGACAGTTTACACAAATATGTCTAGAACCAGTTTTATCCTCAAAATGGAAGAAGTTAGCTGCAGTAGCATTATGTTTCTAATTTCAAGTACCATAATATGTGTTAGGGGGTTCGAAGGTCAGTCTATAAAGAACACCAGAACACTGTATCAAACAGCAAAAGCTTTATTATCACTTTTCTCAGTAAACACTGGCAGGCATAATTTGTTTTTAGGCAGAACAACATGGTGTAAGTTCTACAGTGAAGCAGTAAGCGGAAAAAATAAATAATACCGTGTACAAAAATACAACCTCACTGTACAAACGCTGCAAAGTACAAAGCAAAGACGTGGAGACTCATCAGACCTGGGTCTCCACTGGGGTATGGCACTTTTAAAGACTGAAACAGTCGAGCCTAAAATTCTTCACAGAAAACAAGCAGGAGTGCAATTCTGTTAAAAACAACACATTTATCAGGTGTGTGTCACACTGGTAGGTCTGTAACAAATCCCCTGGAATTTGAAGTGATGTGCATATCTATCTTTGGTGAGACTGAATGAGATAAATACCATTTGAATGCAACGAAAGAAAATATTTCAATAGGTGCAACGTGAATTATTTTATCACTGTGATTTGCTCACGTGAGAGACTGTAAAAGATGCCTCTGAAAACTGGAATTATTCGATGGGATTGATTTTCAGTATTGATTCTTTAAATCAAGCTCGTACAATATATGTCAATAGTCATTTTGTATTTAGACTTTAATTGGTTAATGTACGCTTGTATGCGCAGCGGACTGTAAACACTCAACAGCAGACATCAGCGCAAATCAATGACCAGAGGAGGTCAAACTGCTTGTGAATATCCAGCTATACCGACTGATTGAACACTTTTCTTTTTTTCTGTTGCCTTTTCACTGTTTTTCACTTTAAAAGTACCTGAGTACCTGTTCAGAAAAATAAAACGACACAGGATCCCATACAAATGCAGCCATCTCACAGATAAAGTATGATATGGTAAAACCGAGCAGCACTGTAGATGTAGATTCAAAAACGATCAATTTCCACAAGTGTCAAAACAGATCTTGGTCACTCATGCAACAGAAAGTGTGCACACAATTGGTAAAACTGTCTGGAAGTCTGTCGTGCGAAGTGAAACAAAGAGTGGCATGCATTTTTTATGAAGATCAATAGTCATTCCTAATCTTTTCACTGACGGAGCCGAAAACACAGCAGATCAAAACATGACAAGGATGACTCGTAGGAACCATTAAAAGAATAAAAAATTGATTCTCTGTCTTTACACTACTTGAAGCCATTCATGAGTGAAGCGCTGAGGAAATGCTGAGCAAAGACACTTCACTTCTTACTAAACACTTGGGAAAGATCAGCTGCAAACTCCAGATATGTCAGCTTCAACAGCGGCAACCTCGTTCACTGTCCATCATGCATCAGGGGTATGCAAATGCAAAAAACAGTTAAAAAACATCAATAGCAGCAAAATATGAATAAATAAATAAATACATCATATCACAAAACACATTCATCTGTGGGTTTTTTCCACTTGGCACAGATCACGACAGCAAAAATAAAAACAGACTTTTATAAAATTCGACTCCCCGAAATAGATTCAGTATTTTTGGAGCTAAACTACACTACACACCGTAGAGCAAAGCGTCAGCTCTAAACGCTCTTCATTCTGGATTAATTGAGGACTTCTCAGTGACGTCTCCATGCTGCAGGCGATACATACGGGACCTACAGTTTGCTACTGTGCGCTGGGCTATCAAACAGGCATCGAAGACCCCCTTCACTAACGGGCTGAGTGATGATCAACTTGTGACCGCTGCTCTGCGGGTGCTCGCGAGGACTCGAAGGTCTTGAACCGCGATGGATCAGTCTTTGCTCTCGGTGCGCGTTCGTTTGACGATGGAGGAGAAGAAGCTTCGGCCTTGTTGCGGCCCCATCAACATGGCAGCCTGGTTCTTGTGGACGATCTCAATCTGGTGTTAGAAAGAAGAGTTAAGATTTAGTTCTGGCGTTGCTTTCTGTTGGGAAGGATTCATTACAAAGAAATATGGAAGGAAATGACAGTGAGCTAATGTTGTCTTTGTACCTTTCCTCCTTGTTTCAGGAATCTGTGGCTCAGTCAACCAACTGCTTTACTGTGATCAGCCCCTCAACCTCCCACCCTCCCTCTCCTTCTCCCAGCCAGCAGATTCTCCTTTTC